AGAATGTATATGGTGGCTAAAATTGGCTACAGGTAGACAAAGGTGCTATCATGGAAAGAAAAAGAAAAAACTAGACATCAAGCCTTGTATACCATTACAATGAAAGAAAACATTATTTCTCTGTTCTCAAGTCCCAATCTTTTTTTTTTTTTACCATCAAACATTTTGTTGCTAAAAGCATCCAACAGAACTTTCCCAACTAATTAACCACCTACACTAAGTACATATCAACAATTACAATACTTATCATAACCCAATTGATTCTGATGCTTAAGACAGACTAGTAGGCTGAACACTTGGAGAGACAACGAGTTGTGACCTTGCACTTGGTGCGGCCTAGTTGACCACGCATTAAGGCACAGAAAAAGAGATTGGGACATGGAGCTTATCCTGAACCCTTCCTCACTAACCCCATCTTTTAACAGCTTCAGCAAAAGAGATTGGGGGTGCATGGTCTAGCCAGATCTTCCAAGGTAACAGGCATGTTTTTCATTACATGCTACAATATATTCCCACAAAAAAGCTCTCTCCTGAACTACTCATGATGTAATATAGGCTCTTCAGAGCAACAAAACACACAATCAATTACCATTACAAGTTTGACATTAGCTACATAAAAGAAAACAAGATGTACACAGAAAAATTGCAATAAACATAATGAACTGAAGGAATCTATTGCCAGTAAAATACCTTGAGAATTCGAAGCACGCGTGAGACACTTTGCTTGATCAACCTCTGCTTCATCTCCTTGCAATACATCAGTCCCACAGTTTCAACATATATCTCAACATCCTCACAATCATCGATCTCGAGACAAGACAGATTAGACTCCTCTTCAGGAAGCTTATCAGCAAAAAAGCTGCTATTCTCCACTAGAACATTCTTGTGGACACTCAACTTCACACAAAAACCCTGCTTTCCAAGTAAAACTACCTTCATATCACTGGTTCCAGGTTCCCCAAATTCAATTGCCACCTTCCTTGGCAAGCTTTCTATCTTGGGCCTGGGAGTTCTCTCGCTAACAATTGAAGCACTAACACCAGGTGTATCAGAGCCACAATTTCGTTGATCATCAGAAACAACTGCTGATCTTAATGGAGTTGGTGGTGCCTTTCTCTCATTAAGTGGGGTTCGTTTCTTTTGGACGGTGGTCTTAGGTGGTGGTGAAGAGGGTTTGGTTTTGTTTAAAGGATTTTGAGCTTTAGTGGTCTTTTGAAAGACAACAGGAGAGGGACAACACCAAAAACCCTCTGGAGTTACGGCAATTGGGACATTTCTAATCTTGGTTTGGCCTTGTTCTACCTTTGTAAGTCTAATTTCAGCCATGTCTCAGAACAGCTTACAGCATTTACTCAAATCAATATATGATTAGTTTTACAAGGATAATAAGATTACAGCAACCCGCTGGTTTTCCTTCGAAGGGACTCAAGGGAAAGAAAATATTGAAACTGAAAAGCTGTAATTCAAGTCAATCCTGGGAATCCCAAAGTCAAAATTTTATTTTCTAGAGTGCAAAACAGCACAACAAAACAAAAAAGTTAGAAGCAACTGATAAGTTTTTCTTGGAAAATGAACCACTTCAAATTCAATATATTCCAAATTACAACTTCAAGAAAACTAAACACATAAAAATCTTAATCAAAGCTAGTAAAAAGATAAGAACACAGTTCCAAAGAGTTCGAATACAGCGAAAAAACTCGTGCATGCAGAAATCGGTACTCCACAAAAGCACAAAAAGCCAAAGAAAAAAAATTATACAGGTTTACCTATCTACTCAAAATCTAAACTAGATCGGGTAGTGGACAAAAATTCATAAGAAATACACAATAAGGAACCATAAACAAGCTTGAAAGTTAGTAACTTTGGAACCCCAAAACACTAGAAACACACCAAAATTTGGAAATTTAGAGACTTCCTAGAAAACCCATCTCTTATCTCTTATTTTTGAAGGCCACAAGTGCCTAAAATGATTGAAAGATAGCTCTGCTGTCAAGCATCAAGGAAACCATGAACAGAGAGTTGCAGGGTGGAATAATGAGTGTAATGTCTCTTTTAACTGTAATAAAAACGGAAATGAAAAAAACCACCCCACAAAAGTGACAAAACACACTCACACTCCCACTCTGATGAAGAAAAAGAAAACTAAAGTAGTTATGGGCTCATTGGTTTGTGTCCATCTTATGCTTTTGATGATTGTATGAAATGTGGGTCTCAGACACTCAGCCTGTTCATGTCTTCCCCTTTTTCTCTCTATAAATATTCTCTCTCTCTCTCTAAAAAAAAAAAGCACTTTCTCAGTGACCGGAACATGCTTGTCTCTCATTATCCTTTCTCTTTTGATGTTTTTTAATACTTTTATTTTTGGTTTTTTTATGTTTTGTTGCTTTTGTGGACCGTTGAGGATTAGCTGAAAGAGACCACAGGCTTCATCCTTCGTGTGGTTGTGCCTTCATGAAATGACATGAATATCCTCATGGGACTACCAGATGAGTTGTAAAGATTCATGAACGAAGGTGATTTGATGAGCATTTAGAGGAATCTTGATGACTCCAAACAGTTGAAGTATAAGATAAAGTTAAGGCTTAGTGAAAATGATGGATGGACCAAACTCTAACCACTTGTGTTTTCTTCTGTTTTGTAGGCCATAATTTTGATATTCTTATTTGTTTCTTTATGTTTGAAATTTTTAGAGTATCTCGAGATTTTTAGGAAAATAGTAAAAATATATGATATTTTATTTTATTTTAAAATTTTTATTTTTTATATCATTGGTTAAAATAATTTAAAAATATAAAAAATAATAATTTAAAACCAGAAAAAATGTAAAAAAATTTCAAAAACATGTTCCCACCGCAATTACAAAAAGTCCATACCATTTGATAGATGCAACAGTGGACCACTCATGGAAGAGATTTTATTGAAGCAAAGGTAGATGAGTTTTGCTCAACTCTAAGAGAGGTTATTGACGAATTGGTGGTAAAGATCAAATCAGAACTTAAAGGGAAGAAATTTAATTTGTGGGTTCATGATTAGCTTTGACTAGTGAAACAAAGAGATGCTGACAAAATTTAGGGCCACTGATCCAAGAGGGATACTGACAATTGCTAGGTTATGGCATGATCTTGATGGATAATCAATATCTCATTAACCATGTAAATAACCTTGCTCCATGGACATCTAGTTTGGTGACTTGGCTGGAAAGAATATGTAATAATCCTAATAGATTGGGCTTGTTCAACATACTGATGGAGAATTTTAGATTGAGAATACAGATCATAAGTAAAGATTATCATAATTTGTTGGCGAAGTAGCCTATCACAGATGAAAAAAATGCAGAGTGCTACTAGAAGAAGAAATGTTCAATCCGTGTACAGCATCTTTCATCAATGATTAATATGCCACGGCAAAATCTAATTCAAATCGCCATCATGGTATGAATGGGTCCAGTTCATGTAACAAGAGGAGGATCGCTCATCCTGCACGGAGGACATGTTGCATCCTCTCTGTTCCTTGTTAAGTTTCCATCGTGCTTTATAAAAAGGAGAAGGAAACATCATTTCCAAGTGGCGAGATTGCATCTAAGACAGAGAGAGGGAGGGGGGGAATTGCTAGGGAGACAATATTCGAGGGTAGTTTTGAATCTTTTGACTTGGCCCTTTCTTTCTTTCTTTAGAGGATTTCTTTTGCATTGATTATAAAGCTAATAGATCTTGCCATCTGGCTTGTTGTGCGATATTACAGAGATTACAAATGATGATGCTGCGTTGAGAAAAAGAGAGCACGTTTTCATCATCAATAGCACCAAAAATAAATCCATGGCAAGATGGATCTTGCTGGAATTTTGGCCCACCATTGCATCACTCTTCATGTGTCGGTCTTAGAATTGTGTGTCAGAATTCTATTCTGTTCATTGACGTGAAAAGGGGACTCCCTGGCACATGCCAGTTTAACTACGCAATATTCAAGTGATTATACAGCTCTTTAAATCCATGGCAAGATTAATCATGCCTTGTTTGCACAAGAAGCAAGCTCACAATGAGAGGCCAAGCAATTGTGATGGTGGAGGAATTATAGTCAACAGACAACTCTAAAGTTTCCTCTCTCTTTTCCCTGCATAGCTTATATCTAGTCAACTTTTCATAGTGTGCCTCCATTTTTCCGGGTAAATTTTCCTCCCCGAGAACATGTTTAGCCTTGACCAATTTCATCAGTTAATTTTATGTCCAACTACCTACAATCTTACACCATGTAAACATGGGTAGCTTTGTACTATACCATTGATTCAGTTCAATTATTTTGATAAACTATCGGTTCTCTTCCAAGGGAGAAAATGACCTTCACCTGCCCGCTGCTGTGCTGCGTAATGTGCTTCTTATTCTCAATCAATAACCTTTGGCTCTCATCATCTTCCTCACCTAACATAATAAGTGAGAAATCCAAACAAATTAGTTAATGATGCATAAAAGCTACTCCAAGTTTCATGTTGCAGGCTGCTGTAAGGATCATAAAACCATTAATTGCACTTGGTATGAGCTGGTTATGGATATTATCTTATCTCTACTGATTAATCACTCGTTTATGTAATACATTCCATGAAGTTTTTCAAAACTTGGGTAGAATTGAGGGGCTCTAGCACAAAAGAAATTCAATTTGCCAAAAAAAAAACTATTATTGCAACTGATATTAATTTGGAAAGGGGAAAATAAAGTTTTGCTTGGAATCCATCTTTTTCTTCTTTTTTTGGTTTTTTTCCCCTCTGAAAAATACCTTGTCGGAGGTGTTGGCTTCAGTTGAGGTAAAAGACAGACAGCAACCTTATCCATGAAAACAACAGGAGCAGCACAATGTATTAGCTCACAAGAACTCCATGTACCGAAGTCCAGCAAGCATGCAATGCAATGTCCTGGACAAGGCAGCTAAATTTCTTGCAATGCCTGCGTCTTATTTGTTCTTTTGCTACCCAAAATCAGGTTAGCCATGTGGTCATGCTCCTATCATCCTTCCAGTCAACTTAACATATACAACTGCCAAAAGTAAAATAATTGTGCAAGGCTGAATCTGCCAGTGCCTTTTTGTGTTTTTCAATTTCTTTTGGAATAATCATGGATTGAATTATTTATTTTTCAGATCTACTCTTATCTTTTACAAGAATTATTTGTAAGGTAATTAGGGCAGTAGGGCTCGAATTTGAGTCTTGCAAGTTGCATCCTTTCATGCTTTGAAGTAGAAAGCTCCACTGGTAAATGCCTGTTGACATTGCCACTACCCTTAAATAGACCAACTTGATCATCAAGTTGCATGGCTTTCAGCCTGGGAAATTTTAAGGCAGTAAAAGCAATCTTCCATTCATCACTGAATGAGAGGATGGTCAACAAAATAAATTAATGGTTAAATTGGTTGGACCTTGTGGTAATCGCTCCAAATAAAAAGAATAAATAATGTCAGCAATATATAATTAAATAAATGTATCAGAAGTTGACCATAAAGGATTAATCCCCTCCCTTTATCCATCACTTTGATGCCTAGCTTTGAAAGAGAACAAAATGGCAACAACCATAGCATTCAGCTTGTGTTCTCTACTAATGGCTGCACTCTTTGGTTACTCTGCAGCAGTCCAGCTAAATGACCCTGGTACTTTGCTTACCTTGATGATATTTTCAGCTATATGCGTTTCAAAAGCTAGTTTTCTTCAATTTCTTGCTCATGCTTCTGATTTTTATTTTATTTTTTAAAAGATTGGTACTTTTGGCTCCCTCTTTATGCTTGTGCTTGTGCTGTTAATCTGGTGAACTGGGCAATCTCCAATACAACAGTCAGGCAAATTGCCAAGGTGACATTATGGTTTGCTGCACTCTTGTTTCTGAAGGTTGTAATAGAAGATTATGTAAATGGAACAGCTGGCTTCTGGTCATTAGATCTGAGTGAGAGGGTTGTAAGGGAGAAAATTGGAAGTGGGTTGGTTCTAATTTCCATGATTTTGCATTTGGAAGCATCATCAGAACCTAAACATTCCAAGATGCCAAGAAAGAGAAGGGAGTTCCGAAGATCTGTTGAATATGGTAAACGCGTTGAACCTCCTTTTTTCTTTCTCTTTTGTTTAGACATTAGACCTGCAAAATTGATTGTTGGGTTTTATTTGACGCTAAACTAAAGAAATGTCAATGCAGGGATGGCAAGCTTGGTGATCTTCAGTTTAGGACTTCCTTTTGTCTTCTTTGTGATTCATGATGGAGAAATGAAGTTCGATCATATCTAGGAACAAAACCATCTGAAATCCTTTTAAAATGGGACATTTCTGATTTTGCTTGCACACTGTTAATTTGTTCCACCGGACTCAATTGCCAACTTCCTCCTCGTAAAGTTTCAATTTGTAGGGCTGCAATGGTGGGATCACAGCAATTTGTTCATTTTTAACTCTCCTCCCTCACCTAACGATCACTTCACCTGCACTGCTTAAAAAACCTATACGAAAGAGAAATGTAATCTAAAAGTTGGCAGAGAAAAACAATTTTATCCAAATCAAACTCAGTGTCTAAACTACTAAACTAGATCATGTCTCTAACAAGAAGTACAAAAACAAAAGAATTTATGACAAGCACATCAAGAACAGTGCAAATAAGTAAATGTTTAACAACTTCTACACCATCCATTAGAGTCAGCAAGTTTGATACTCTTACGCATGAATAATTATAGATGCGAGGGCAATAAATGGGAAAGGGAAGAAAAGATGAAACTGAACCTTCCAAAAAAATCCCCTTGCAAATTACAAATTTATCTCTCAAAATTGGTACTGGACTGATCCCTGTAGAGCTTTTACATCACATGGAAGACTTTGCTAGAGCCCCTTTTGATTTATACGGATAACAGAGAAACCCCAGATTTCACCTGCAACGAGTGGCAATGACTTTTTCAATGCAAGCCATCCCAGCGCATGCAAACCAGAATGTGCTGGGAAAGCCACAAGCATTCTTAAAATCAACTCTGGTTACATTACATGTTTTACAGAAGCTTAGTTTCTCCAGTAACATTTACACCTTGATTATGCGGAAAATTGGCAAGCATGGTTATGGAGCATTATTTGAAAACTAGTAATTTATGTATTAGCATTGAAAAAATAGCCACAACAGGAGAGCACATATACCTACAATCTTAAACAGGAGGGGGGGGGGGGGGGGGGGTGTGGGCGCGCTAAAACCTTCTACACTTTGCACTAAACTCCATAATGTATCAATAAATGAGAATAAAGACTAGCTACTTGCTGGGGCAACTAGGAAAAAAAATTCATCACGAAGATGACTGTAGCTCCAAGGACCGTAGGCCTCAGACTCCATTGCTCGGGACTTGACCAATATCTTGTCAGCTTGACGCCAAATCCACTCAAACTGCTTATGATTTGATCAGCCAATAAATGCCAGCAAGGAATAATATCCTTGAACAGATCCGAATCTGATCCTCATGTCAGGATCTCCACAACCCATTATTTCAAGCAGGGTAGGGCAAGATATTATTTAGGATTTAATAGAGGCGGCCTCGGCACTTGGGAGCTCCACAATGGCAAGGATAGCCTTCTCCAGGCAGCAGCTCATACCGATAGTTGTATGTCAGTTCTTCACCAAAAGATATCTGCACATTTTATGGTTAACCAAATAAATGAAATGTACTAATAACCTACCCGAACACAGTACTGAGTCAATAAGTTCTATTACAAATAGATGCAGTATGCCTTGAACTACATCGATGTAAAGATAAATCCCAACTACATCAGGCACCATGAATGGGCAAAGAGCCCAAAAAGTATCCCACAAAATTCCCTTCGCTTGAACTAATAAGAAAGTCAATATTCTTAGAAGTTTCATATAATTTTTTTAGAAAAACATGTATAGATCCTCCACGTGTACAACAATTGATATTCAAGAAGGAATAAGGAGAGTACTTACATCCCGACTTGCATAAAGACCGATATGAGCACGCTGAGAATCCATGCTGTTGACCAGAACTTGGTGGTTTGCAAGATTTGGCATGCAGCTGCCAACATAAACACATGTCCAGTGTAAATCAACAAGCACAGCCTCATGCAGATAAATTAACAGGCCAGAAAAGACTGGAGACAACTAATCAACTATGGAACTGTGTTCCATCATCTACCTCACTCTCGAGGCTTTTCTTCCCTTAAAATATAGGATAACACACTCTCTTCATATCTTGATGCATTTGAAAGTTTATACGTTAAAATATAAGCCAATAGCTAAGGCTTCTAACTTTGATGAGAATGTTGTGAATTGATCCCGCTCCTTAAAGAGGAGAAGCAGGTGAGTGGTAATGTGTTTTATGGCTATTATGAAATTATCACCTCCTTTTTTCCCTTCTCGCAAAATCTTAAAACCATCCCACCATCAAACTAGAAAAAAAGAGGCTATCGAGATGTCCTTGTGCAATCATTCGGATGTTGCTAACCATCACTTAAATATAACAAAATGTCTAGCTATACTTCAAAGCAAGAACCTCACATGCATCTATATATTAAGCGCCCTCTATAAAAATTCTTTTTAATATTTTGTTTACTGGTTCAATAAAAAAAATTCATTGGATACATCAACAAGGTATCAGGTTCACTGGTTTGCAGTTCTGGCCAAACAGTTAGAGACTGCATGAGATAAAGGCCATGAAGGTACTGGTTCCATGAATGGTCCCCCCTGGTTCCCTGATTCGACAAAGTCAATCAGGTCTTTTAAGAACTACCTTCTGGAGTCGCTTGATGTTTCTCATATGTTAGATCTTAGCTGTTCTTATGCTTCTCTTCTATATAACTGGCAATCTAATTTAGCAATCAATTATTAACATTTTCATCCGTTAAAGATAACATTAACCTACGTAATATCATATCACAAAGACATCATTTGAATTATGAAATTTTTTGAAGGCATTGATAATTTGGTATTGCCTTTTTCATATGAACAGAACTCAAGCTTATAAATGCATGTAAGTGCATACATACGGCAATCATCAAATCTAAATCCATATAACATTAAGGCATCAAGCTAATGCCTGAAACATCTAAAGAGAGGCAGCATTATACCTAGCCAACATCTTCACCTTACAGAAAATCAAGTAGTTAAAGCAAGCATGGAGCGATTTTGATTGGTTCAGATTGATAATTGACACATTTGCATACAAGAAGCAAAATTCTCGAACTGTAGAGAAGACTACTGCAAGGAATGTTACTAACTTTCGCTACCTGTGGTTGATGAACCGTGAAACATTCCCATACTTGGTGGCATCAATAAAATAATGGGACTGCCCTTCAACCATTCTGCTCATATCATTGGTATGAGCATCAATTTTGTACATATAGCTGCAACCTTCTTTACCATACCTAAAAGCCAAACAAAGCACATTCAAAACATAGAAAGAAAACAAAAGGGAGCCAAAATTGCATCTTCCAAAGTTGATAACCTGTCACGTCTATCATTTGCCTCCTGTTCATCTAAAACCTCCCCAATGTACTCACATATAAATGTACCACGTAGGATTGGCTCCCCTGCCCTGACTGCCCAACCCTGTATTTCAGAGAAGACAGAAATTAATATGGCACTATAGAAACAGTGAACAATTGAAAGCAAAACTCTAATTGGGAAGGTTTGTTACCTTATTATCTGTTTTGAAGACTTCCAATTTCACTCGTATTCCATTCTGCAAAACTCTGTTTGGGCAAGTTTTATTGCAGCTGCACATGCTATTACACTCATAAACAAGGTAACCCTCCTGCACAATTTTGCAAGAAATGTTTAAAATGCAAGTATCACCAGTAAAAAATGTATACCTCACACAGAGGCAGAGAGAGAGAGAGAGAGAGAAAGCCAAAATAAAAGGCCGTATCTGCTTGTCAAATAGAGCTTGTGCACAGAAATTAAACATGCAGAATACAGAATCAAATTGGCAAGTGAGATAAAAGGGAGAAACAATAGCATGTATCAGTTACCATACTAGACACTCTTGAAAGCAGGAGGCCAATAAAAAATCTTGCAGGAAAATAGAAAGTTCAAGGAATGAGGAAGCTATTCCATATGCAGCCAGTCAATCATACATTCTTAGCTATCAAAAGAGCATCAACATTGGAGTGGTAATTAGTAACTATGTGCAACAGTAAAAAGAAAATAGCATTACCTCCAATACAATCCGCCCTTTATCATCATATGGGAATCTGCCAAGCATGGAATTCCCATATATGTCTCTCGCATCTTCATAGTCATTGTCAAAGAGATAAACATGATCGCAAGTTTCAGGACAGCACACTGGATATTGGCAAGAACAGCCCAATTGCAAACTCTACATAAAAAAGGATGGTGTTGAGGGAACAGAAAAAAGGCAGTGCATTTAATACATAAATCCATTTCCAAAATTATATGGATATTATATGACATGCATGAGCATATTTGCAAAGTGTTTTTCTTCCTTTCCTCTCTATCTTTATGTGTATGCATGTCTGAGTGTATGTGTTTTATATTTTGAATTGCAGTGTCCTCAGAAGCAAACTAGGGTTCAATCATCTCCAAGGTAGGAGAACAACCAACAACCAACAAGTGCATTCCACATTGATACAATTGGCCATAATCAAAATCTAATTGAATTTAAAATTAAAACAGTAGCTAACCAATCAAAAGATACCTCAATGTCCAGACTATCAGATTGATCAAGCAATGGCCCTGTTACATAAGTAAAAGTTTCCCAGGGCCTGGCGAAATGATTGATTTGACCATCAGAACCATCTGCCAAGACATGGAGAGAATCCAGGGGATCTTCATCTACAACACATGCCACTGGTATCTTTTCCCTCCCAAAGCTTATGTCATTACACAAGACAGTAGCCTTTTGCTTAGGCCCTTCTCTAACATCATGCACATCAATAACATAGTGGCACTCGTCCACTTCCCACTCACTGTTTACATGATCAGATGAATGTGTAATTTGTTTGCTTATTAAACCATTTGGAAGAGCCATCAAAGGAGAGAATAATCCTGGGTCCTTGAAACTCTTACATCCTCTGGAACAGATAAACTCCTCCTGATGCCACTGTACTTGAATGTTATGCTCACTGCAGAGCTTGGCTGCCTTCAAATAAAAACGCTCCGGCAACACTCCATATTTCCCCTCCAGTGATGCTTTTAGGCTCACCTTGCAGCAAGCAGAGCGTGCAATAGCTAAGATATCAAGGTTATTAGGCCGAGGTTTTGTTTTCTGGACCTCAGAAAACAATATCTTTGCGACCTCTGAGCTTTGAGATTCTGCTAGTCTACCAAGAGTACCTGCCTCAGTTAAATTAGACTGTATGCTTAGTCCCTCACTGCTAAGTGACTTTGATGCCTGGATACGTTTCTTC